CTAATACATTCCGAAGTACTCAAGTACCTACAAGCATACTGAAAGCCTGCTAATTCCATCCCACTGAGTGCAAATGGCTTTCCTTGTCCCTTATTTTGGCCACCACACGTTGTTTTGGAAACTTTGCTGGCTTCCTCTTCTGTGCTGCATTCCGGTAAATTACTTCCTCCCTAGAAGTTCTGACTGTATTAATTTTGAATTGAAAATGATATACCTGTAAGTGGATGAAATTGTAGCCAAAAAGGAGAAAACCCCAGAATTAAAACATGTGCAGATGATCTGAGTAGGTGTAACAGGTGAATTTAATAGGCAAAATCACCCAGAAATAAGACGTAGATAAAAAAAAAAAAAATCACAGGCAAAGCAGTGCTCAGAGAAAACCTTGTAAAAGGGACGCTCTGGGAACAGCAGAACAGGAAAAGACACTCAAGAAAGCTGAGAGAGCAAGTGCAGCAAAGGAACACGCTCAGCCGTGTCTCAGCAGACAAGGCAGGGAAAGCAGAAACCGTTCACAAAGCAGCAGCCAGAAGGTGAGAACACAGAAGGCAAACTGAAGAGGAACCTCTGACAGGGACTGCACAACACACGCAGGCAGTGTGCAAAGCTGAAGCTGTACTAAAAGGAAAGGCAAGTTGAGGTGGACTACAGGATGCTGGTGTTGAGAGGAAAGAGTCAGGGTGGAGCAAGAAAAAGGGTGAGGAATTAAAACATTAATGAACTGATCATTCGTTCCCTTTTAACTATTTGGGCCAAGGAAAAGGCATTAATTTATCAGATCTTTATCATTTGGATAACTTTCTTAGGCTCTAAACTTCAAAATTAATTAAAAGAGTAATTTTGGTCTTTTTTATCTATGCTGCCTCCTTATTCATCAAGGATGGAAAGCCACAAGCGTCATATACACCCAACACATTTCCTCCTTGATGTAATTTGATGGTAGCCAAGTTTTCCTACAAATTACTGGCTCTTAATTGAAGAACCTGCAAGACCACAGATTTTCACATGGGCTAAGAGCACAAAGGAACAGAAGAGCCTTTTAAGTTGAAGCAAGTAACTGAGGCCATATATTGATAATGTCCAACTAGTAGCACTGCTTGGGCAAGAACGCCACGTGAGGACTTGCCGCCACTCCTTCAAAGCGGAACCCTTTCTCCAAGATTTTCTTCAAATCAGGCCAATCCTTGATCAAGATGCTAGTGCAACCCTACAAAGAGCTGCAGTTTTCCTGCATTTGGGGGGGAGGAATGTCATAAACTGGAATTGTTCCTTAAACTGGAACTGAGGCCCCATTTCCAAGATGGTTCCAGAACCACAGACTGCTATCAGCATGCAAGACTGAAAAAAGAAGAAATCACATGGACCCCATCACCAGCCTGTGGACTGGCAAGAGGAAAACCATCCTTGCTATTTTGTCAGCAGCTTAGTACTTGGGAAGTCAGAAGACCATCCTCTGAGCAGACACAAAAATGTAGTCCAATCACGTGAAGCCTTCAAACGGCTTTCACTCACAATTAACAGGTGATAATATAGGTGCAGACACTGCTACCAGCAACACTCCTTTCACGGGTTTGCTTTAGGTACAATGTTTGTTTTAGCAAGCTTCTGAGTTTTTAAACTATTTTTCAAGCGTGCGATTTAGGACCTGAGCAATATATTAAAATTCTCAAACATCTGCCTCAGACAAGTCGGAACTTGACTCTACCAGCTAGATTTCTGTGATTAAAATGCGTAGATGTTTCAGTTGAAAAAAACCTAAGGAAGGTCTATAATTACAGTGGCACATTTTCGCCACAAGCTCTGTCTGTTTAAAACATATACCTATCTAATAAATACCTAGGCAAAAGGCTGTTATTGGAAGGCTCTAAAAGATCTGAACTCCCGTGTTTTCAAAATTTTGCTCAATCGCAGGATTTACATTAAATTGCCATTTTAAGGCTTGTCCTTATTCAAAGGCACTTGAGATAAGATTTTTCAAGCAGTATTAAATTCCTACATTTCCATTACAGAATTCTGTCAGCTTGTACCACAAGGCAATCATTCTCATCACGCTGTTTGGCTGTTATGGATAAACTGATTCTTAGCATCCCAAGTTGAGTCTAGGCAATGACTGCATTCAGGTCTGCCCAACTAATCTTTCCTACAGACTAAATAATATTAAAGATTTAGACTATCACTGCAACTTACAGCTTTGGGGCTGCTGCTTGCTTAGCTTTTTTATTAACTTTGGAAACCTAAATCTTGGGAAAAAACATATACCACTCATCCTTCCTATACAGAGCTATTTTATTTTGAAATTGTCTACTGTTTGATCAGAGATGCTTGGGAAGAAAAGTATCCCTTCAAGGTAGTTCTGTTGATACTGTACATTTCAAATAGTCTTTTTAACCTAGAAATTGGTCAAAAATTTTGAGAGGCAAAGAACACAATAGAAATCTAATGCGAGCATATTTAAGAGCAAGGAATTGGGTTCTCCTTAAATAAACTTGGAACAGGAATTTAACAGCAGTGCTCCAACATGCAACTGCAACATTACATCAAGACAATAAAAGTCCACCTTCTACATGCAAGAAAACATTCCACAGGCAGCTACTAAAGCTAGCTAATTTCAGTGCCAGTAACTGTGCTTTTAAAAAAAAATTAACAGGCTGACTGAATAATTAATGCTGATTTTCTCTAATTCTTGAAATATTAAAGAAGATGCAGAACCATATGCAAGCTACCTTTTAAGCACAGTGGTAAACAGGATGACTCAGGTAGCTACACTTTCAGTCTGTTTGATATTAATCACTGGCTCAAGCAGACAACACTGATTAAAGGACACTGACATAATTAAGGCCAGCCATCATGGATTTAGGGAAGAGTATTCAATCAAAATAAACTT